AGGTGCAAATAGTGTTACTGACCACAGACAGCTGGGTGCATTAGCCACACTAGGTATCCACGCCAGGTGCAAATAGTGTTACTGACCACAGACAGCTGGGTGCATTAGCCACACTAGGTATCCACGCCAGGTGCAAATAGTGTTACTGACCACAGACAGCTGGGTGCATTAGCCACACTAGGTATCCACGCCAGGTGTACATTGTACTGCTGGCTACTAACAGCTGGGTACAGAAATCATCTGCCAGAAATGCAGACAGGGCCCATAGAGAACAGACACACTGCTGCAGGAGCTGAAAACGGCACAAAAGCACACAGGGCCACCTGCCGTTTCACCTTTCAGCATTTTATTAACAAATACATCAGTCCTCCTTCTCCAGCACAGTCTTGGTCCCGCGCAGTCTGCCCGTACGACGGGCGGCAATGAGGCCGACTTTGCGGCCAGCAGGGGCGTCCCTCCTGATGGTGGACGGCTTTCCGATGTGTTGGTGGTTGCCTCCTCCGAAGGGATGCTCTACGGGCTGGGGGGGGGAATAGCGGGAGTGAGCACGACTGGATGCTTGATCCTCCAGGCTTTCGGCCAGCCCTTTTGACATTGGTCACTATAATCTACACTTAGTACCCTTCGACAAACAGTTACGTATCACACATCCAATAAATGTTCTTTACATTTGACTGGCCATTATGGAAAAACATTGTGATTTTCTTCACATCAGTAGATATCAACCTGACATAACACAAGTCATTATTTCTTTAAACCAAGACTCCATAAACATTCAGAACATGGAGATCAGCAAGACTGAATGGACTGCAAGCTGAATATACATTTTATTTTATTTTTTTACATTAGAAAATGCCCACAGTATATTTCATTGCTGGGTTTATTTATCTGACTGCCTCATATCAGGGAACAGGCCTGACATTCCCGGTACAGCTGTCATCCATCCCATAATGAAAAATAAAATGCTGTGTCCCGTTTTTAACCAGTATGGGTGCAATTTGTCCCATATCTCTTCTAACAAAGTAGAAACCCTAATTGCTGGTGTCTAACTTAGCATTCTGTATGTTCTGCTGGGTGGCCATGCTTTGACTGGTGAAATAAGTTCTTGGTGTTTGCAGGTTTAGTTGACACGTTTTCAGCACGTTCTCTTGCCTCCCAGAGTACCGCCACAACAATGACATCTTAAAAGACCATTTGATTTGTTGGATTGCATTTGTTTCAGCAATGTGATAGGCTGATATACACTATCCTTACTGACAGTATCAAAGTTTCACATTTTCTTATTGTTTAAACTTTATATGACAATAAATCCACATACTGCTCATATTGCCCAGCCCTATATTTAGATAATTCAAAATCACCGTCAGGGCAACTGAAGCCACTAGCGGCACACTGAGCGAAGCACCCTGGGAACCCGACACACCGTCTGCCCGTCTAGATAAAACATGCAAACCAACACAGCAAGAGTGGCACTCGGACACAGCGGCGGAGCGCGGCCACTGGGCCGGCAGCACTTACGTTCATGGCCACACCACGGACGCGGGGCCAGCAGTTCCTCTTGGCCTTGTACTTGTGGTAGGCGCGGCCTGCCTTCAGGATGGGCTTGTCAATACGGCCACCACCAGCGACCACACCTGATCACCAACCACCATCATAAACATCACAAACGAGCCAGAAACAGCAGCTACTCAGAACGGTTCCATCTTCCATTTACACACAGCTGATGCTTTCATTGCAAGTTTTATTCTCTGAGCTGGATGGTGGCACAAATAAGGCGCCACAGCAGGCTGTCTGAGGGACTCATGCAGCACATGCTTCTGCGGGCTGGAGACGGCAGGTATTTTCACACTCACCCACGACAGCCCTGTTGGCAGAAGAAACGACCTTCTTGGACCCAGAAGGGAGCTTCACCCGGGACTTCTTGGTCTCAGGGTTGTGAGAGATCACAGTGGCATAGTTGCCGGAGGCACGGGCCAGCTTGCCCCTGTCGCCAGGCTTCTCCTCCAGGCAGCAAACGACTGTCCCCTCAGGCATGGAGCCCACAGGAAGCACGTTGCCGATGTTCAGCTGAGCTGGAGAAGGAGAGCATGTGGAGGGCTGAGCAGCGCACTAACACCTGCTGCAAGCTCAAAGAGCTTACACTAACGATCGCTGCAGACCGGGAGAATGAATGGCACGCTTTCTCACCTTTCTTGCCACAGTAGATGAACTGGCCCGTGTGGATGCCTTCAGCAGCGATGAAGAGCTCAGTCCTCTTCTTGAACCTGTACGGGTCTCGGAATGCGACCTTGGCCAGCGGGGCCCCGCGTCCGGGATCATGAATAATATCCTGGTAAAGTCATAAAAGGCCCGGGTTAAAAGCCAGCACGCCAGCTGTGATCCAAAGCCTGCCGGTCCCGTAAGGCTCACCTTCACGATCCCCTTGATGTAGCCATGGCGCTCGGCAAAGTCGATGCGCCGAAGCTTAGGCGCCCCCTTCCTGTGCTTGACGTGGGCTTTGAAGACGGAGCCCGCACCTTTCCTCTGGCCCCTGATCACACGGCCCATTGTCAGCTGCAGTGGGAGCCCAAGAAACGTCAGTGCAACACCGAGACCATGCAAGCTACAGATAGCCTTTTAAAAAAATCCAAATACAAACACTAAAAATTACACTAATCCCGCGTTTCAAACAAGCAGAACTGCATTTATTCTTATGGGCAAGGTTTGTGGACATCCTAATGTATTAATCGGAACTCATTAAAACGATTAAGTGAGCGTTCAATAAATAAAAGTCATTTTATACTCTACCAGAATTACGTATCGATTTCTGCAGTATTGCTTTACAAGAGAAGAGTATCCACGTAAACGGATGGTGTCATTTCAACAGTGATTAAAACATGATTTTAAATAAGAGAACAGCAACGGCATATTGATACCTGGCCTCTGCCGACGAAAAGAGGATGCCGGAAGCGAATACAGTCAATTTCTTCCGGTCGCTTACGCCCGGGGGTTTATGGGAATTCGAGTCAAGCTGAGCGTAGGCGTCAGGCGCCTTCACGGCGTTATTAACGTATCACATTTACTTAATATATAGGTATATGTCGTACAGTTTCACAGATATCATATAAGATAGATTTATTATTCAAATACGCGACGAAACGTGTATATACAACTTTGGGTGCCATTATCTGTCCTGTTTCATTAAATCCATTGAATACTCCATCCGGTTCCAACACTTTAAACCCAAAGTACTACAAAGAGTTAGCAAGACCATCATAAACTGGCATAATAGTTAGTGCCAGTCAGCAATATTAAAGGCTAAATGGTAGGAAATATCGGACGATAATAAAATCCTTACAGTAAATATCATGTTTCAGACCATCAACACCAGATAACTTGAATGTTGATGGAGACCTGGTGCACACCTTGGATGGGGTACAATTACATTCCAATTCATTGGCTGTTAACAATTTTATGCCAAACTGAAGGAAAAGTAGATCAAAATAATACTTTAACTGATTTTGGTCAATGTGTAAAGATTATGGATGAAGACAATGGACTGATCTGGGATTTCAGTCAATTGTTCTGTGAAGTAGTTATTGAAGTCAGAGTAAAGATCCGGTAAACATTTACCTCTGCTAAATGGTTAAAGTTGTGATGTTTCTAGGAATTTTCTGTTGAATGAAAAAATTTCAGATGTACTGTGATGCCAAGAATATGTAGTCATGTGGATTTCCTCCATATTACCATGAATTAGATTTTTCTTCATTAAGTGAATGCTAGCATGAAGTTCTTCATTGATTTCACTTGTTTTGGTCTTACAGTGCCAGTCTGTAGAACGTCAGCCTATTACGAGACTCACAATCTTCCATAGCAGCAAGCGGATCACCTGAATGCTAATTTAGCTAATTTCGTTGTCCAGGCAACTGTACAATGACAATAAAAAGTCTAGAAAGTCTTGAAGTCTTGAATGTTTTTTTTATTATTATTAAAAACAGATACTGTGATGAGCAAAATCTGAGATATGTCTGTAATCTGGTGATTTTATGACTATTATTTCTCATTATGTTTATTTAACGTTGTGTTTTTCTTCTGGATGCTACAGTAATGACATGAGCAGGGTAGAGGTAGAGCAGTGGGGGCTGCAGTGAGTGCCAGTGTCTTCTGGCTGGAGACCGTTATTGTCATGTTAGTCAGTCAATATATTAAGTATGGAGGATGCAGATTATTGGGATTGACTGGAGAACAGAAAACCAGCAGAGCTTTAACATGGAAGCCTGTTGCAGGGTCAGTCAGGTGTCTGCTGAAGCCCCCGCTGTCCCAGTGGAAGACGCACATACAAGCTCTACGCCGAAGGAACGATTCAGTTGGCCACTATTCTTCTTGTGACTCCGTCAAGCCATATGCAGATCAGTGTCCCAGTGTCCCCGCGAGTGCCAACAATCATCCCTTGTTTTCACCCTTCTTCACTATTATACCTTTGTATTCTTGGATTTTGATTTGTGTGTTTATACAAAGCTGAGTGGAATAGCCAGACTATGTAGGGACATGTCTCGCCATCATATATGCCAATATTCTGTATCTAGATATAGATAAAATAGCTATAGTTAAAGTAAATATATCCCAGGAGTTGGAAGGGAGCAAACACTTAAGACTGTCTGGGGGTCCCCAAGGAATGAGATGGGAAACACTGGCTTACAACCATCATACTCAACACCAGATGGCAGCATTTTCTTTTTTTTTTCTTTGCCCAAAGCCTTGGTTCTTGCAATTATGTCTTACCCATCATGTCTTGTTACTTATACAATAAATTATCAACCCAAATACATAATGCTGCCACTTTATCTGTTTTTTTTTTATCACACATAATTGGAAATAAAAATGAGGCAAAAACCAGAGTAAGGCAATTCCAGATGGACACAATGCACAGCACATATTTTCTTCATCAGATCTTTTCTTCTCTGTGTGAGACCAGTCGCTGTGATGACCCCGCACAGACAGGATGGAAATATGTTGTATAAATGAACACATTGTCTACACTGAAAGGAATCCCACAAAGATTATTAGAATAAAAACAAGAAATATGTTATGTGTCTGATCTTGCTGTGGTCTGCTCTAACCATTATGAAACTGTGACAGGTGAACAACAACTGGACCCGCGTCTGTCAGCTGGCCTGCGCTACCCCCCCGTGCTTAATTGTTATTATGATCTCTTGCACATGCCAAGAGTCAGACGAACAATGAAGCGTGATGAAAGGCCACCTTTCTCAACCAGGACATAATCAAAACCAAAAGCTGTGATTTAACAATTGTCGCATACTGATGGAGTGACTCAGAAAAGTGCTTGCGACCTTGTTTACTTTCTAAAAGGGCAGGAGAAGAGAGGACACCTTTACTCCAGTTTCTCACACATGATCACAATCACACACCCTGACATGTCACATCCTGTTTCTGTTCTTAATCGAGGAACTGTGAGATGACGTCATCTCCAGTCAGAGGCTCCAAAGCAAAACCAAACATTCCTTTTATTTTTTGTACACAGGCTCACCTTCTTAGTACACAGAAATGGAAACCGATATTCGCATATCCCACTTGTTTCATCTAATCAGGAAATAGATTTTTTAAGTTTAGATTTTCTATTTCCTGTAACCTTGTCATGTAACGTACACATACAATTATGCTATATAAAAATATACCCCATATAATTATTGTGTCCACAAAAAGTATGAATAATGGATTTATAAACACTAAGCATAATCTTAACTTGCTGCATAATCTAATGTGAAACGTGTGTATTAAAAAAAATGTTTACAAACGATGTAACCACCGATAACAGAAATTAGAGCATGTGCTTTTGTTTCTATTATTTTCTAACTAAACAGCCGTAAAAGGGAACGGACGTATATACTACATAAGAGAATACCCCAAGTTAATAATAGCAATTAACACGCTTGCCGCTGTGGCTTCACGCTGAATAAAATAAGCCCATACCTTCACTTTTACCCCAAAAAGCCCACGACGACAGAATCATTGAAATAAAAGAACTTACTCAAATTAACCAGTAAGTTTTAAAGAATTGCACTCGGATAATGCGTTTGGTTATATTATGTTGTTGTTCTATAACATACTGTATCTTATGCAGTTTAGCAATTTCTTCTGGTTATTTTTGCCAGCTTGTAAAATCACAAAAATTTGCAATTGGTAATACATTTAATTTCCAAAATGCAGCATCACATCAATAAGTTATTAATTCAACTTCATAAAATAGGCCTTCTATTCTTTACTAACATGGCTTAATATTCTTGCCAGACAAACAGCTTTACTTATAAAGTACTCTAAATATAAGAATGCTAATTATAAGAACTCTATCGTCGTTCCTCTTTTCTTCGAAACAATAACTTTTGTTTTACAACAATCGTAACATTTAAATTAAAAATACAGGACTTCATTCTTCGTTTCTCCAAAACAATTTGGCAGCTGAGTTAAACTTTAAATGTACCTTCTCTAGACATGTTATAAACCAGTAACTAGTGATAGATACTGGAGAATTAAAATTGATTAATGCGTATATTGAGACGGCTAAAGACCACAAACTAGAAACTAAATTATGGCAAATGTAAAACGAGAAATGATCAACGCACAACTAATACAAGCACTCTTTGTCTTAACAATTCTAATACTATTTATTTTTCCAACTGCGCCAGCTGAATCTGTCCAAGTCTCGCGATGTTTGGATGTGGGCTCTGCATTGGGCTCCGTCAGGTTGCTGCGGCCAATAAAACCTCGCGTTGCTTCATCCTCTCTATTCCGTCTCGAAGTAGCGAAAGGTCGTTTAAACGTTCAGCTCGGCTCGGAATAAAGACCGCCGATCGTTATATAACCGGTCGCGTAAATAGTCAAAAAGGAGATATTTAACATACGTTTTCTACACTATCTCGTTACTTTAGCTATACTTCTACATTTTGAAACTAAAACGAAAGACAACGGGGAAATACGAAGACGTGTCGCTATCGTGCTAACAAAGGAAACGCGTTTCTCAACAGGGATTCATCCTCACCAGTCTTTAGTTATGAGTCATGTGGCCGTCGAAAATGTCCACGGTCTAGATCAGCAGGTGAGTGTCGGTGGCTCCGGTGGCTTTTCCGCCGGCCACACGATGAGAGGGGGGACGCCGGGCTGGATGCGCCGCGATCTGCCGCTAGCTTGGCGGTGGACTGCGCGCTTCCGCCGCCCGGCGCTGTTAAGATGGTGGCTGCTGGTGCAGTCGGAGCTAGTGGTGATGATGGCGGCGCCTGGCTACGCCGCCGCGGCCGGTTTTCGGTTCGTTGCTATCATTTTCTGGATCATCGGGTCTGATCTTTTTAAACGGATTTACCATCAATGTTGTATATGATTTTCCTGTCCTGTACGGTGGTTAATAATCCTTTTATTTTATTTTTACATCTGTAAAAATTCGAAGTCTGTTATAAGCTAGGATGGGTTTTTAATGGAAACTAAGGAACAAAAATCTAGAATGGTTACAGGTGGGGGGTAGGTTAACATAGCCAAACATTGCTGTAAATATGGTTCATAAATGGGGGGTTTTATTTCCGGCATTCTTTACGAAAGAGAAGCCTTGATCCGAATTTAATGTTAAAATTCTTGGCTATTGGGTCTTCATAAAGAACGGTGTGCCTGTTTTTTTAGTTTTGCTTGGATCACGATGTTGGTTTTAATCTGGTTAATTCTGGGACCGGCTTTGTTTTTGCGTAGCATTTGACGCGTTCACCGACCCCCCCCTTCCCCCGTCGCCGCCATGGAAAACGAAGGTGCCGACCGTGTGCAATCCGTCCTCTTCGGAAATTCCGAGTCTGTGGGCTTTGTTCACTACCCGCCATCTAGACGTAGCCGTGTTTACTCTATATTTTTCTGTCCATGTGTATTTTAATACTTACACAAGTGAAAGCGTGCGGCCGGCATGAGCATCGAGTTAATACGCAGTTAGGCATACGAAGTAACTAGTTCCTTATATGTGAAGGGCTAGAAGCCTAACATTTCCGTGTCCGTAAGTGTTTCGGACCTAAAGCAAAACATCAGCTCTATGACCCACCTTTCATTTTCGGCTTTACTAGGTTAGTTATAAGGTAATCATCAGTTTGGCCTGCGGATGCAGTTCGCTTAACTGAGATGGCTGTATTTCGGCGACGGCGCATTATCTACTTGCCGGATCTACTTGCGGCCGGTCCGGCGTTGACTGACTGACTCGCTGGGATCCGCGTGGCGGTGCTGCCGTGAAGCTCGCGGTGTCTCGCGAGTCAGCGCGGCGGCCACGTGACAGGCGTAAAGTGATACTTATCGGCATCACAATGTGTACATGTACGATGTGCGGCCGCGCGCTGCTTCTCTAGTCATGAACACCGTGTGAGTGAACTAATGATTTTCTTTTTCCCGCAGCTTGCTGTGCTAGACTTAAATTCACCAGCTGACGGGCAAGGTGGAGGTGGCACAGGCAGTAAGTGACTGTTTTATCTGGGGAAGCTGACACACGTAGATTTGTTCCTCGATCCACGTAATTGTGGAATTGTTAGCTTTGAGTTGTGATATAAACTAATGGTGAACAAACTGGATCATGTTCACTTGACCAGTGTTATATTGGATATGGCCCTTCATTGTTGCTGGAGCAGCTGCCTAAATGTACTGCAATGTCCTCATTGTCATATTTTTTTTCAGGGCGGTACATTCCACCTCATTTACGGAATAAAGAAGCGTCAAAAAACGGTGAGATCTGAATCCTGTTCAGTGGCGCGTTTTTTTTAACTGAATATGTGACTTTATGGGATGCCTAAGACGACAGCATGTGCTCTCTGTGTTAAATCTGGAATTTGAGTGCACTGTAGTTGACTTAATGGTGGTTACAAATCCAGCTTTATGTTTATAACAGAAATTCAGAGTGTGCTCTGAAGTAAACATTGTTTTTGTTAGTGGTTTGTTACTGAGGATTTTGTGTATTCAAGGATCTTGGTCAGGACAGGTGTGGCCTTTTGTCCTGTGTACATGGATTTAATTAGGCAGTAGTTGAACTTCTGGGGTATTTTCTAAAGCTAGCGTTGCTTTGGTACATGTGCCTTTGCTGTTTTTGCTTTGACTGCCTGGCTGCCTTTATTATTTCTATACAGTCTGAGAGGGGACATCAGAATGGAGTAATAGCTGTGTTGAACCTTTTCGCTGAGAATGTTTAAGCTGTTTGTTGATCATAATCATTAAAACAGGCTTTCCTCCCTCTCAGCTGGCATGTCTTAGGCACCGAGCCCTGCTTGTGTTTTCCGGGCCTCCGGTCATTTTAAGTCTTGATATTTTATGGAAATATTTGACCAAATTTATTTGCCTTGAGCTGTTGTTTTTTTTTCCCCTTTTACCTTTAACAGCAGGAAATACCCCCCCCCCCATACAGAGTGCTTATTCAAGTATGGTACTGTGTATCTGACAGCTTTTCCTTAAGTACCAACAACACTTTAATGAAATTGCCTTAATGACCCAATAAGGTGGCTGTCAGGCATTTATGTTGCTTTCAGATGGTTATTGTTTTGATTGTAATGAGACATGGTGACTTTGTTTTTCTTCCTTGCAAATTTTGCCAGAAAAGCAGCATTTTGTCTTATTGGTTCTGTTTAAACCAATAAGCAGTTAAACATTTACTCATTTGATTAGAGTCTGACTACAAGGTAGTGACAAGTACAATAGGCAAAGAGGACTCTTCACAAGGTCTGACTGCACTGGAAGCTTGGTCCCTCTTCTGTATTTTGTCTATGGGATTTACTTGACAAAGGGTTTTGTGCTTTTTGTTCAGGTTACCCAAGATGCCCTTCGCAGGACCTTTCTTTGTTTCAGGCCTACAGCAGTGGTTGGCCTGCCAGATGTGGTATGCCAGGATGCATCTGCATGTGTCTGGGGTGCACTGCAGAAGCTTAGCTTGTCTGTGTTGGCGCATATGAGCTCGCATGGCGCTCCTGTGCCCCTTCCGGTCTGTGTATCCATGGACTGTGGCTGATGTAAGGCTTGTGTTGCCTCTGCCCTGGCCCCCAATGCTTTACGTTGCACGATATGTACCAAGTGTCAACGTGGATGTTTCACTGCTTGAAGATGAATGCCAGCCACCTAGTCACTGCTTTTTCTTGGATTTTTCCACCCCTGGTGTTCTTTTGTTCATAAATTAACCGTTTCAGCACTACTCATTTGGACCGCTGCATAACTTTTTTTTAATGGTTGGTTCTGGTTGTTAGGAGTTGGATTGAAATGTGTGATTATAGTAAGGTATGTGGTCTTTGTGTCTGTTACAGCTTTCGGCTGCCTTAACAAAGTTGTGCTGACATTTTGGCAGATTATCCTTCCCATGGGGATGTCGGTTTACGTATCGGGTGTCATGACTTGGCATTCAGGGTGATGACAGCATTAACATTTCGTTGCGGCAAGATGTTGAACAAAACACTGACCTGTTGGTCATGGCATTATAATTACATCCCTTTGGCGTCTTAGCGTTACTTTTCCCAAATGGGCTTGTTTCTCTGGGTTATGCTTATACCAAAATTAACTACGCATGACCCCATACCAAAGGAATATGCAGCTTAATTACCTCTTGATGTGTCCTAGTGCCATGAAATAAGAACATAATACTTCCCTCTTTGAAATGTGTAAACATCTGGGTCAAATCTATTCCAAAAGTCTCATTAGAAGGAATGGTATGAAGCAAATGTTTGGGTACCTGCTAGGTTTTGGTGACCGTATATAGCTGTAAGACTTCATAATGGTTTAAAATCTTTAAATTCACCCAGGTCAGCACTCTTAAATGATGCAAATGAATGCTGACACACTTTGTGACAGCCGGGCCACGTTGCCCTGCGGTGGCGTTCTGTTCCCTGGGGTTTTTGGTTCGTCTTAGTGGGAAGTGTAGACTTTTAATTCATGCCAGTTGTGTGTGCAGGACTGGGGCTGTTAAGGATTAGATGAAGCTCTAGCTTTTGGGTGGCATTTTTGATGTGGCCAGTTTTAAATGAATCTCTTAGCAGATGGAGCAGGGATGGGTTGGTATCTGATTGTTAGTTGGTGTGTCTCCTGCTTGTGTCGATGGCAGTGTGACTTGATGGGAATCGCAGTCAGCATGCACTGCTGCGCAGACGCATGTGGGAAAACAGTTAGAGGTGCATTGCTCAGGTATTACATAAATTCTTATGATGTCCGTTTCTCTACTGTTGAACAGCAGCGGGTTGAGGTTAATAGTCAGAGGTCAGTCATTGTTAATGCTTGGCAGTTAGTATCCAGACCTCTTGTCCGTTAAAATCTATGCATCTCATCTCCAAAGCGTTGCTGTCTTGGACATTGTCAACTTGTGTTCAATATTTAAAACTGTAACCTGCAGGTGTGTGTTTGTGCTTTTTGAGCAGTGAAGACCCTTTGGGTTTGTAATCCCCCTTAAACTGACCTCACTGACCTTCAGCATTGCTGCTTGGTTTCAGATTTTGTGTCAAACTTATTTCTTGTGAATTAACTGGCCTTGATCTTTTTCCCTCCCTGACCTATTGAAGACTCTCCTGGATGGGACGGTGGGCGGAGCAATGGCTTTGTGAATGGATACCATGATGGCAGGGACAGTCGCCTGAATGGAGACCGTGGTTATGGAGGACGCGGACCTTCCCGCACAGATCGAGGTGGGCGTGGTGGGTACCGTGGCAACAGAGGCGGTGGCTCCTTTAACCAGTCCCAGCCAATGCAAAATGCAGGTAGGGAAGAGCTCATCTGCTGGTAGTCCTGAAAATAGATTTGCATGGATATTGGTAGAGCATGTGAATGCTTTTCATGGTATGTGAGCCTTACCAAAAAACCTGGCGAAATAGTTCCACTGGACTAGCATGGAAATCCGTAGAGAGCAGGGAAAAAGTAGGCTGGGTGGGTCTGAAACTTAGCTAATAGGCTGTAATGTTCTCTAGGGTATGGCGATGGTGGCTGGGCTATCCCCAAAGACAGAGACACCTACAGCAGCTTCGGTGGGCGTACCGACAGAGGGAAGTCCTCTTTCTTCGGCGACCGTGGGTCTGGCTCAAGAGGAAGGTATGGATTTCTGCACTTTCAGTAGTTGCATACAAGAAGAGCAAATTCTTAATTTCATGGTTGGTTTCTGGGCATTTCGTCCTGCCCCTCTATGTGCTCTGTAGGTCTGACAGGTATGAGCGTGGGGGCTTTGGAGGAGGGAACAGCCGCTGGGTGGAGGACTCCAGAGATGAGGAGGACTGGTCCAAGCCCATGGCGCCAAACGAGCGTCTGGAGCAGTCAGTATCTGTCATTGGCAGTTTCTCCATCTTACTCAAAGAGCTGCCTTGCTTTATGCTGACTGGTGTTTCTGCCCCCCCAGTGAGCTGTTCTCTGGAAGCAACACAGGCATAAACTTCGAGAAATATGACGACATTCCTGTCGAGGCCACTGGCACAAACTGCCCTCCTCACATCGAAAGTGTAAGTCCTTCACTCTTGCTCCCCATCAGCCCATTTCCTCGTCTTCGCGATGCCATCTAATTGGAGCGTGTCCCCAGTTCCATGATGTCGACATGGGCGAGATCATCATGGGTAACATCGCTCTGAGCCGCTACACTCGGCCCACTCCTGTGCAGAAGTATGCTATTCCCATCATCAAGACCAAGAGGGACCTGATGGCCTGTGCCCAGACAGGTGAGAGCGCCCCCTGTGGCCCACTACCTGTGGCTACATGCTGACTGCCTTGCAGTTATTGTGTTGGGTGGGAGAATCTGGCTGATTGTTGACCTGAGGTGGGGATACGCAAACTTGAATGATTTCTGGTGATTTGTCCCTGTTCAGGCTCTGGGAAAACCGCAGCATTCTTGCTTCCAGTTCTGAGTCAGATCTATAACGACGGTCCGGGAGAGTCCTTGCGGGCCATCAAATCCGGCAGTCAGGTACTGCAGTGCCGTCACGAGTAAACGATCGGATCTCAGTTGCGTTTGAGCCATATCAAGTGTCAGTTGGCGAAGTCTGATGTAAATGAAAATGCTGCCGCGCGTCTTGTAATGTTAATTATCTGTAAATGCCTCCTCAGGAGAATGGGAGGTATGGGCGACGCAAGCAGTATCCGATCTCCCTGGTTCTGGCCCCCACCCGGGAGCTTGCCCTGCAGATCTATGACGAGGCCCGAAAGGTATGCGGTCTACACGTGAAGCGGCATGCTGGATGCCGTGAGCCCGCCGGCTGTCTGTAGTCTCACTTCCTCTTCTCCCATCCCCCCCCTTCCAGTTTTCCTACCGTTCCCGTGTGCGCCCTTGCGTCGTGTATGGGGGGGCCGACATCGGCCAGCAGATACGTGACCTGGAGCGGGGGTGTCATCTCCTGGTGGCCACGCCTGGCCGTCTGGTGGACATGATGGAGAGGGGCAAGATTGGCTTGGATTACTGCAAGTAAGATTCCTCCCAAAACACCAGATGAGGGCTGCATTAAGGGACATTTCTTCTGCGTATAAAAGGCCTTTGCGTTACGGTTACATTTTTTTCTCCAGTCCCTTTTGCCATTGCTGTGATTACGGATGTGTGTGAAATAGACACTACTGCAACATGGGTGTGTAGTGTATGTGACACCTACGTCTCTCCTTCCAGGGCTTTTATTAACGTTCTTGGTTTTTCTTCTCCCTTCCTAATCCAGCTTTTTGGTGCTGGATGAAGCAGACCGCATGCTGGACATGGGCTTCGAGCCCCAGATCCGCCGCATCGTTGAGCAGGACACCATGCCTCCCAAGGGCCTTCGTCAGACCATGATGTTCAGTGCCACCTTCCCCAAGGAAATCCAGGTAACTTTGCTAGACTGTGAGCCACACATTTAGATCCAGAAAGTGGTGTCTGATTTCCTAAAATGCCCTCAGATCCTCGCTCGGGACTTCCTGGAGGAGTACATTTTCCTGGCGGTGGGCCGTGTTGGATCCACCTCGGAAAACATCACCCAGAAGGTGGTTTGGGTGGAGGAGAGCGACAAGCGCTCCTTTTTGCTGGACCTCCTGAATGCGACAGGTAACTACATCTCCACCTTTAATATGCAATAGTATTTATAGCCGCAGTATAGTGTGTATGTTCTAGGTAGCTAACTTGGGTTAGTGAAGGTTCAGTGTTTATTGCAGACGTAGAGGGTTCCTCCTGTTAACTACTATTCTCAAATGGGGTATCAGTTTTTTGTGTAGATGGTCTTCAGCTGTTTTAGTGGGTAAAGCGGCATTGATACTGTGTTTCATTTGGGGTAGCAGTTGAGTGCTATTATTCAAAGAAGCTACTCTGAAATGCTTTTTAAGTGTGTTACAAGGTCTGGTTTTGTTCAGTTATTCCCACTGAGGTTCAGGAAAATGCAAGTGAGACACCAGAGAAGCCTGGTAAGTTGTTGACGAGCGTATGCAGTGGTCTTTCAGTGCCTGGCACTGTGTCAGTCCCCCCCCCCCCCCCCACCCCGCCCCATCTCGCCCCACTCAGTGACGTTAACTGGAGCAGACGGTGACTGCTGGTGTAGGCTTTAAACCGTGCAGATGGGTCGTCCTTGTTGGGCAGCCCCCTGCACTTATGGGAGGGAGGCCTTTCCAGTTGGGTGTCACTGTCTGCAGCAACATCTTTGAGTTCATCTGTCGCCTATGAAGTGACTTTCATTTTGAACTGTCAATGACTGTTATGCTCCATTCAAACCCCTTTTTGAATGATCAAATTCTGTTGTCCTACATCTCAGAACTTTAGAACCAAATATTTGTGCCTTGAAGCGATGCTGCGAGTTGCTTAGCTTTTTGAAGGCTGCCTCGCTTTAGCTGTAGCTTAATAGAAGATGTAGGGTTATTTATACTCTTTGTACATTAGACCAAGTACTTCACCAGTCCCCTGAGGTGTGGGAACTAATGTGGGTTTAAAAGGGATGGACTGGCTGCTTTTGCTCAGCAATGTACGGTGTCAGCATTGCAGTCCAAGCTATTTAAAAATGTAAATGTTAAGTGTTTGAGTTGATCTGGATGTAATGCGATTTTTGGGTACAGCTTAAATGAGGTCACTTCATGTAGGTCTGAAATGCTGTAGTCTTTCATGCCCCATCCCGTCTTGCTCACCAATATCTTATATATTTATTTTTTTTTGAGCGTTTGCTGTGATAGCCATTAAAGTCATCCTGTGACAAACATTGAACCCGACTAAAGTCTTATCACTCTTGAATAAATTTTGTCTTTTGTCAGATTGTCTTCAATTCTGAAGTATTCTGCTGAATTGGGCACAACTGGTTTAACTTAATGGTTGTCAGTCAAGGCAAAACTGCTTGTCATACATGTAGTTCCCAGTTTAAGTTGCAAGCTCCCATGCTTTTTAAGAACGTGCTCTGATGCATCATCGTTTTAGCTCGGTGTTTGAGGTAGGTGAGCTCACGCTTTCCATCCTGAAACGCAGGGCTTCTCTGGCTTCGAATATCAACACCTGTTCCATTCTGCAGGCAAGGATTCCCTCACCTTGGTTTTTGTGGAGACCAAGAAAGGCGCAGATGCGCTGGAGGACTTCCTGTACCGCGAGGGCTACGCATGCACTAGTATCCATGGTGACCGTTCCCAGAGAGACCGAGAGGAAGCACTGCACCAGTTCCGTTCTGGACGGTGTCCCATCCTAGTGGCTACGGCTGTATGTTCCTGCACTTTGCTCTACAAATGCATTGATTCTGATGGGAAAAATCTGAATTGGTATCTAATGCTGGTTGTGTGCTGTCATTGTAGGTTGCTGCTCGTGGGCTGGACATCTGTAATGTCAAACATGTCATTAACTTTGACCTGCCCAGTGACATTGAGGAGTATGTCCATCGCATTGGGCGTACCGGTCGTGTGGGAAACCTTGGTATGTATGTGCCTTAATATTGTAAGAGGTATTCAGCTACACTAAATACAGGCGTTAATCGTACTTACTTGCTGTGTGAGATGACATTTAGGGCTACAGTTCACGGTTGCCTTTCTCATTAGGCTTGGCCACCTCCTTCTTCAATGACAAGAACAGCAATATTACAAAGGATCTCTTGGACCTCCTGGTGGAGGCCAAACAGGAGGTGCCTTCCTGGCTGGAGAGTCTGGCCTACGACCACCAGCACAAAAGCAGCAGCCGAGGCCGGTCCAAGAGGTACTGCAGATACTTGAAGCTTTACTGAATGCTTCTGCCCTGTTGGCCATAACTGTTCTTTAAAGATGGTCGTCTGTGCCTTTTAGGTTCTCTGGTGGTTTCGGGGCCAGAGATTACCGTCAGACAGCCGGCGGCAGCAGCAGCTTCGGTGGCCGAGGAAACCGCAGCATTGGCGGTCACGGTGGAAGTAGGGGCTTTGGTGGCAGTAAGGGTTGGTGTCCTTGAATGTGACTTAAGTGGGGGAGGTCTTCCTATTAGAATGTGCTCCGTCAGCTCATGTAGATTCGCTAACCTGTCACTCTATGTTCCTAGGTGGCTTTGGAAACTTCTACGGCGGCGACAGTGGATATGGAGGGAACTACTCCTCCCAAGTTGACTGGTGGGGAAACTAGAGGCTCTCATGAGGCTCGGCGACATGCCAAACTAGCTGAATGGATACCACATGTAACTTAGCCAGACTGCCCTTGTAGCTTCAAGAACCTGCAGTACATTACCAGCTGTGATTCTCTGACACTGTTCCAACAAGGTGGCTGAAGATGGCAAGCCAGAGAATCTGAGGGTCACCACTTAAACGAAACATGGCTGCTGCGATAAATGCCTGGCATCTTGGACTCCGGTCTTCTGCTGTAGATGAATTTCTTTCTTGTAAATCTGAGGATCATTTCTCTGTTAATGTACTGTGCCTTTGAAATTAGACAGGAATTTGTTTTGTCATTACTGACTGTACTGCTGGCCTAAAGCTCAGTAGGATCTTTTTCCCTTTTTTTTTCCTTTTTAAGGCAAAAAGCTTGTACTAAATCAAACCTTGGCAAACACTGGGATGTTATGACTTGAGTGAGTCATTCCATTTGAACCTCAAATTGTCACAGGGACATCAGGAGGTCTGCATTAGACTACAGCTCTCAGCTCATGGAATCATCTTCAGAGCTGAAATGTTGATCCTTTGTGTGGCAACTATCAAGGGATGAAGAGTTCTTTTTTTGTGCTCACTCTATCCTGGACAGGTACCTATGAAGGATTTGGTATTCTTCAAAAAGCCATTCCAGCTGTGATCTTAATTTGTGACTAACTTCTTAAAACAGGCCAGTGTTTGGAGACAAATGCTGCAATTAATCCACCTTTTGCAATTGACTTGAGTGCTGAGGCAGCTAGAAAAGTTCACAATCTAGCCGTGAAGTGGGTTTTTTTTTGTTTTTGTTCTTTTAAAAAAACTTTTATGGGGGGAGCAGTTCTGTTTAAACTCTACCAAATCTCAGAATCGCCTGCCATATTAGATGTGACTCGTTGAATGGCTTCTAATGGACCACAGCGCTGAAACGGCCACGTGGATCGACATGGCCGCTTCGGTGTCCTACGCATGCTGGTGTTGTTTTTTGGTCAAGGTGATAAAAAGTGAGTTCTACAGCAGGCTTTATATTAGACATACTCTTTGTTTTTCTCTTTTTTTCAAGCTGCGTTGATACCGAAAGACATTCTCGGCAGAATCGAAGGCACGGCTCATTCTTGGACTAAAACGGCTGTTAGAGATTTCAGAGCTCAGTGATGTACATACAGAGCAAATCAGTCTGCAGGGGGTGCAGTGGAGAGGGCAGTTAGACTGCTTTGTGCAGCAGCATTTCAGGTGCAGAGGTTTCCATTGTGAACTGGCTGTGTATTCCATGTGAACCGGCCAAAGCTGGGGCAGAGGGTTACTTTTCCCCCAAGGTACGGTAACACTCTGCTCCTCTGGAGTTAATCTGCCATTTTGTAGTTTAAAAATGACTGAGAAGCTGCCTTAGGCTTAATTTCCTAAGCAGGAAGTTGAGATTTAGGGGGGCGTGATGGCATTTAACTTTAAGTGCAATAGACTAATTCTTTTGTGTGTTGTGCCTTGAAATTTTAAACGAACTGAATCGGATGCACTGACAGTATTGAGGTAACTAACGAATGGTGCTATTTCAGTTAGGTCTTAGGCCCTTTTGTGTCGTATCCATCACGTTTTACAGAGTTATTTTATTGCACACCTAGAGTTTTATATAAATGTCTTGAGTGCGTGTCTTAAGCTTACCAATATTGTATGTTGAGATTGTGAAACGCAGCTTGTTTACAAAAGGGGAAGGTTCTTGATATTTACAAGGATTTATTTGGGACCAGGGGTGAATAGCAGTTGCAAATTTAGCTATTTGCACACAGATTTCTAGATTCTACTTGTGCTGCTAGTTTTGTGTAATTTATTAAGCATTTTTGAGAAATATTTATTTTTATAAGCCTAAAGTGATTCTTTGAAAGTTTTGAGAAACTTGACCAAAAGACAGTACATAAACACTGGCACTTGAATGTTGAATGTCACCCGTATGCGTGAGACTTATATTTTGGGGTAGTGTGGGCTTTTTAATGTCAGTCATATTGGACTCTGTCAAAATCCACACCTGTCACTGGCCTTTTTGGCCTTGCATTTCTATGATTACTTAATTGGCAAACAAAATTTGAACCGACATGCCAAGGTTTGGATAAGTTCTCAAACACATTTCCTTAAAGTATCAGTGCCGTGTCCAGGTTCTTCATTCGTGATTTTTGTTCAGATTTTTGTTTCCCCAGTGAACGTCTGGCACAAGGCAATCCTAAAACATGTGGTTATTCTATTATTGCATTTGCATATTAGGTGTGTCTGGTGTTTTGACCTTTTTAAATGAACATTTAACAAGCTTCAGCTATAGCAGTAAGTATGACCAGCCTCTAAGATGAACCATGAATGATGTGGGGGGTCAGTAGTTTGAGGGGGTTTGAAGCTTAAATTAAGTGTTTTTAAACGGAAACGAACGCCAGGTCTCCTTTAGGTTTAGTGTTTGCTTTATGTACTAGTTTAGAAGCTATGCACTGCATGAGACGTCTCAGCTGTGCATTTATTGTATGATTTTATCTGAATAAAGTTTGGAAAAGAGACCTTAAGCATGTTTTCTAAGACTGTTAACATGGAGAGCCCTTTGTAGCAGCTCAGTGCTGCAGTGTAGGCAAAGTGAAAATGCAGTAAAAATCAGTTTATACAAATCGAAATTTCGTTTGTGCATTTTGTTTGTGCTTTAAATTCCCGGTCTGAGTCATTTGCTTGTTCTGATCCATTAACTTATAGCATGTCAGCTGACACTGTGCATTGTATGTGTGAAGGATTACCTTTTGTTAAGGTTTGTCTTGAATTTTTGCATACGATCTTTTGTGTTTTTAATTGTTTTCACAATTTGGAATATTCCATTACAGCTGTAGCGGGTGCAACTGTCTATCCTCAAAACTGTCGCTAGAAATGTAAATAACATAATACGATCACTTAAATTACATAAACACGTCTATTATATTCTTAAACATAACTTCTGGAAATTCTGTCTCTATGGGCCCCCTAGTTTTCAGGACCCCGGAGTGGTTGCCTGGCTTGTCTAATGGTGAAGTCCGCCCCAGCGCTTAACCAATCAATACCGAATCATTTCCTGGTGTGGCGGCTGGCTTTATATTCTCACCGATTTCGTACAAACAGGTAAAAATGCAACAATATGTATGGGGAAACTCTGCCATACATTCGCAGTATCATTATTAAATTATGATTTATTTGGTGGCTTTTCAGAGTATGCCTGACTTGCATTAGTTAGAGGTGCACCAAGTCAATATCATATGTGATTAATTCCCCCGCTCCCCCTACCTCGGGCTACCAGCGGGGTCCCCTGCGGTCAGTCATGTCTCATATCTGAATAGTAGCCTGTGTAGCTCACTTGGTTAATTGGCCCTCAGAGTGACATGATATCTTGGTTGTGGTCGGCAAATAGGCGATAGAAAACCGCCCTAGGCGACTGTCCGTGTCGCCTACCCCCAAATCCGCTATTGCCCCCTACCAACCCCAAATAAAGTCGGATTGAGAACTTCAGTGCAGTAAATAATACGATGGGCCAGGTATATATATATATATGAGCTGTCGCCCAAAGCCCTGCTGCAGAGCTGCTTCTGTCTGCTGAGATTTATGAGTCCTGCTTTGACCTCTGTAATCCCCCACTGATGTGAATGGTGACGACCCCACCCACGGACGCTGCTTTTAAATCCCCGGGAGGGATGCGGGCTGTGCAGATGCAGCAGCCAGTGCGAAAGGGTCACAAGTGGGATGCCTTCAGAGGAGCTCCTCGTAACGGGTAATGCCGGTCTGCTGGGAAGGGGTGCAATTTCTGCAGCTTTATAAGGATATGAAGTAGGCCTTAAACTGCAACTCTTGCCAGATGGTCGTGTATCTATGTATGTATGTATGTAATGTGTTTATGTAGCTATGTTTTAGCAAAGCTTGCCCGGCGGTTTAAACTGAGACTTGCGCCGTTAAATGATTCACGGACAGAACGCCTTATACTTAAAGTTTCTGTTTCAGGTCTCGCTCGTTTCCTACATGCTCGATCTTGACATGCATACGCTAAAGGAGAACTGATGTTTTTCTTCTTTGTGCAAGGTGCGTACAGGACTGCGCTCACTGTGTCCCGAAGTATTTGTCTGTGCCCCCTGCGCTTCTAGGCGGGTCACGTGGTAGCCAGGATTTGTCAGATCACACCGTTCATACAAACATTCTTAGGTGACTTACTAGAAAATACGATTTTAAAAGTGTCGAGAGCATCTTGACGAAATATAACATTTTAATTTTATTTTAGGTCACTAAATATCAGTTTTTTTATGTTCAAAATTTTTATTGCTGCGTCAGGCAATCTACTACAACCTTAATCTTACCGAAAGGGGGACTCATTTGCTAAGTGATTACTTTTACTGTGGCTGTTTTCATTACATACTAATTCAGATGAGCGCCCGTACATGAGTGTTTCGTTATTCTGCTTCTCGATCCTCACCCTATATTCTGGTTTTCGTTGCAGATTTATCCGGTGAAGATGATCTTTTGTTGAATTAATCTTAATACGCTTTACAGATTGCGGATATACGATTTGATTTTCTAATAATCGGGAATAATTGTAATCAAAGTGAAATTGCATACGGTTTACCTCTTAAGGAACACAGCTTTCGTTATTTTAAGTTAAGCAACAGTAAATAGATATAGCCTAAATTTTACCTGATTTTAAAATATATATTTCGACTGTGTTCATTTAGAAGACATGGCTACGTGTTTATATACAGATATATGACATATAAGATCACGTCTCCTGTGATTTGCGGTCAAATCGTGCTGTTTTCCAAGTTTGGTATGTGGCCTTCATTCACAATTAACGACCCTGCCTTTCTAAAGATCTGATATAAATATTTTAGGTGAATAGCAGAGCCAAAAAGTGTGGAAGGGAATCCCACAATTAACGAGGAGATTTCATGTACGAACTGTCCGTCTTTTTAAACCTTAGACATGTTTAAATCGATTTTCATATTATATTAATTTTTATATTAATTTGCAGTGAATTATTCTAAAACCCCTCCTTTTTGAGAGATCAGCCTGACAGGATCCTGACTCAGCTGTTTTCTGCTTTTTGGCCACAGTGCCAGCCAGCATAGCTCAGTCCAGAAAGAATGGAAACCAGCAATGAAGCTGAATTTTTTTTGGCTCCTGGTTTTTCTGAGACTCCTTTCAAGCATTTGTATGTCGATCCATGGGAAATTATTTCTTACCCAACTAATTCTGGGGGGGGGGGGGCTTCAGGTGAAATACAATTTCATACATCATATTTGTCAAGGCTCGTGTCATTCCAAGGGAAAATTTTAGTTACATGAAATCCCCCTGCTTTCCGAAATTACTTAGAGCTCCAGAATTTTCCAGATGATTTGCAAGGCAGCAAAAATCGTTGCATTTGTCATTAATAAAGAAATAATACATTTATTAATTCAAATTAGTTTATTCTATTTAGATAAAGAGCGAATATAGAGTGAGAACAGCACTTCACTTGGTTATAAACAGGGACCAGAGATCCAATATAACAATTCAGCCTAAGGCTGATGTGCCCCCCCTTCTTGCTTTGCTCTCCCTCCCATAGCGTCTTTCCTGCTGCTGCCCCCTGCCCCAGCCCCCTGGGGCTGCACACGCTCCTGTCCAGCCAGCTGCACCTGCATCCAGGAAGGCAGTTGCACTGTGCTGTGCGACCGCGCCGGCCTGCTTGACCTGCCCAAGGAGTTCCCTTGCGAGGCTACCTCCATCAACCTGGACAAGAACGGCCTGAAGTTCCTAGCTGAACAGGCCTTTGGAATGCTGCCCTCTCTGAGCTCCCTGTCGCTCGACCACAATAACATCTCCTTCATAACCCCGGGAGCCTTTAAAGGGCTACCCAACCTGCTGCAGCTCAGGATGACTCATAACGAGCACATCCGCTATCTGCACACTCGCACGTTCATCGCTCTGAAAAAACTGAGACGCCTCGACCTTGCAGACTGCAACCTCTTCAGCATGCCTGACCGCATCTTTGTGGAGCTGACGGCGCTGCAGGAGCTGCTTTGCTACCAGAATAACTTCCGGCGCATACCGGGGGCAATCAGAGGCATGGAGAATCTCACCCATGTTTACCTGGAGCGCAACAAGATTGAGGCCATTGCCTACAATTCGTTGCTGGGACTTGGAAAACTCCAATACCTGAACTTGCAGGAGAATCGCATCAATGTCATCCATGACAAGGCCTTCCAGGACCTTCAGCGGCTGGAGAACTTTTACCTCAATGACAATCTGCTGGCGGACCTTCCCCTTTATTCATTCAGAGGCCTCTGGCACTTAAAGATGCTCAACTTGGGCGGTAACTTTCTCACCCATGTCTCCAAGACTTGGTTTGGCGATCTAGCAGAGTTGGAGGTGCTTTATATGGACCGGAACCATCTATCCTTCATTGAAGAGGAAGCCTTTGAAAACCTGACCAGCCTCATTTCTCTGCACCTCAACAGTAACAATCTGACCACTCTGCCATTCTCAGTGTTCCAGCCAATCTACTTCCTGGGTCACCTCTATGTTTTTCGCAACCCGTGGGAGTGTAACTGTGACTTGGAGTGGCTGAAGGAGTGGATGGACAACTACAAGTTGGTGAGGGATATTCCCTGCGCCTCCCCATCTGCTGTGGCTGGCTTGGACCTTAGTGAGATAGCCTATTACAAGGTTGGTGGGGTGTGTGTGGATCCAGCAGAGCTCAATTTCACAAGCTCTGCCCCAGCACCCACGGATCTGTGGCGTTCCACCACCGAAAACAGGTTCAGCAGCTTCCTGTCCAAACTTCTGCAGCAGGAGCTGCGGGATGAGATGCTCAACATCACCGAGGGCAGGAACAGCACCATGGTAAACCAGACGGAGAGCCGGGTATCTGTTGGGACCCGTTTCTATGGCAACCAGCTTCTCTTGCTCTTTGGGCTCCTCTGTGGAGTGTATGCACGTAATGACGAGCTCTTGGGAAGTTGAAGTCAATGTTTTTCAGGGCTGATTCTTCCATTTTTAAAAATATGTATCATGTTTTGTCAACTAGGGGAAAGACCGATGTTTCTTATAGCGGGAAGTCAGTCCATGTGCACTACAGTGGATATTTCACAATGCAGAGAACTGCAGATTCTGCTCCATGATTTATGGTGGCTATGGTGTTTTATTGGGATGTACGACTATAACTGTTTGTATAATTTAACATAATGCAGAGACTTGTGCTGTTGGAGGTCATTGTAACTCATACGTTCAATTTCATAACTGTTTAGAGGGACATTTTTTGAGTCCCAAAGCAAACAAATGGTACAAACATGGAGGAAAGTAGCATTAAAATCAACAGTTTTTCAGGAAATGGGAGTGGTCTGTCAGGAATTGCATCCCACAGCGATTCCCTCCAAAGAAATTCTTTATTCTCATTAGTTCTACTTTCCTCTTGTGCCAGGAAACTGTACAAGTTGAGCTGGGATTATGATCTTGTATGGAGGCCACCAGCACTGCTGTTGGCTGATTGGCTTGGCAGTAAAAAACGGTGATCAGCATGATAATTTGTCACATTGGCTTATAGACGATACCGGATCTAGGTAGCCACATGTCTTCAGAACAGCTGTAATTATTAATAAGCACCCACATAGGGATCCTGTAATCTGACACCATCAGCCATTAAGAGCAAATGCCAGTGAACTCTGGGTAATGTATTCATTGTGAGGATCACCTTTTTTGGGCCAAGCAGATATAGCCTCGTACAGAATCGTAAGCACTATTGATTGCTGATGTGGCACCGTCTTCAAAGGATCAAGATTTTCTATTTAGCCATTGCTACAGTACATAGTACGTAGTTGTACTGTTGTGAGGGATACAGTTATCAATACCTGTCAAATTTAGTGTGTATTTATGCCAGCGGATTGATTTAACTGTGATGACATTAAAAGTAGTGATGTGTGACTTTCATGAACTGAATCTATGATGTATTAATATTTTTAAAGATCTATACATCATTCCAAGCCCTCATATGTCATTAGGTGAATCGGTATTTCCTAGAAATATGCATGTCCATCTCCAAGGCGATGCTGTACACATCTTGATACATTGCTAACAATACGATACATTAAAGATACATATGAAGCAACTACTATTGCAATCCGTTACGATTCACCCCTATTGCAATGGAATGCGATTCCACAAGATACAGTGCGATGCAATGGGTGATATTTTTAAATAATAAAGACACAGGGCTTCTACTAATAATTAAATATTTATGCAACCCGGGTCATGTGCTGCTTCCCACTGAATAACTCCGGTTGGCAGGGCAGGGCAGGCCTGAGACCTTCCCATCGTGACGCACTGCTCTGTGTTGTGGTATGTTGGTGATGTCACGTGGCGTGGTGAGGGAGGTGAGGGAGGAGCTGGCCCAGGTGCGGCACAGCGGCAGTAACCATGGTGACAGTCTGGCTTCAGGTGTTCTGACCCGGCGGGGAGTGCAGTGTGACAGAGAGGTGGGTGACAGTGAATACAGTCTGCAGGTGAATATGACTTAAACAACAAGGTGAAACTAAAGACTTGCTTGTGGGCCTAAATCTCAAAAAAGGTTGTTTTTTTTAAATAGCAAAGCAGAAACCAAACAAACTTTGGACTGTATTAAAGATCCTTCCTCCCCTTCCCATAAACGTAAGAGTGAGCTGGCGATTCTTCTCCCTGCACAGACAGTAAAAAAGCTTGTTTTTGTGCTCAGTTGTTTACAATAATCACAAACTAAAAATTTCAATCTAGGCTCCATAGAACACGAGCAAATACAACAAAAATATAGCATATAATATTTAACCAGTTACTGGCTTCGTCATACTTATTTTCTCCAAAAGAACTTGCTGCTAATGAACAAACTGATAAAATTTTAATCACCGCTAACTGATCATAGTGGGCACCGCAACTTGTTGAGATGTATGTATAATTTTGAAAACCATAAACATATTACATTTAATCAAAATCTTTTAAATGAACCAAATAAACTTCCACCGGTCCTTATCAAACATGCTGCGACATGTAAACATACCGATGGCTCAGTGTTATTCCCCTAAAAGTCAGGAAGTATTTTTCAGCTTAATTTCCAAACACAGACACAAAAAAAAAGCTTGTTTTTGTGCGCAGCAACTTAAAAAGTGAGTTCATGATAAAAGACACCCTCCGGTGGACTGGAAGCATAGTAACACCTGAATAAGGTATGGGTCACAACGTGCCGCCCGAGGCAGGCCCCCGGGTGACACCGTGCCGTCAGAGGCAGGGCCCCGGGTGACACCGTGCCGTCAGAGGTAGGGCCCCTGGTGACACCGTGCCGTCAGAGGTAGGGCCCCTGGTGACACCGTGCCGTCAGAGGTAGGGCCCCGGATTTGTTTACTGCCGTTTCTGATGCCTCAATTTTCAAAGGACAATCTGAAATGTCCATCAAAAGCTTGTACAACGACTGTCCCAATGTGTTTGTGAGGCGTCAGTGTGTCACTTTTTGCAAGATGGAGTAAAATATAGAAACGTGTTGTGGTGAAGCTTCCCTGGCGCAAATGGATGGCTCTGCACGCCTGCCTTTTTCCTTCATTAAACTCACTAAATTTAGGTCTCCAAGCTTTCAACAAATGAATTAAGCTCCTTAAAACACAGTGCCTGTTTGTCCTCCGTTAGCCTGGTGGAACGGAGCCCTAATCCTGGTCTTAGCCTATAAGCTTGTGGATTTTCATGACTAACTTCAATTTTTATTATCTGACCCCCTCTTAACCGATTTTGCAATGTTTCAGGAGACAACGATAAGCAGAACCGAGACATCAGATTTGTTCATGTGCCTGCGGTACTGTATGACAGCTACCTTTTCAGATTTATTATGGGTGTTTGGCCAATGGGAAAAGCTCCGGGTGGCACTTGGCCAATGGGATGGGCTCTGGGTGGCAACTGGCCAATGGGATGGGCTCCAGGTACCACTTGGCCAATGAGACGGGCTCCGGGTTACACAAGTTAGTGTTCCGCCTGTCACAACGCCACTCGCATGCTGCTACCTGCTTGCACTCTGACGTGTCATATGAAAAGGAGGAAGTCTGCGCACGGCGGTGCTTTCCAGTACATTCCGCTGTGGTAATGCCAGGCCTTCTATGGTGCTATAAATAATAGTGGTGAAGTCATGGTTCTGCGGGAATCGCAAAATGCTCTACTTACCTACAAGCCTCCAGGCTAAACTGGACCAGCCAGGTGCTCTTGGATGCAGGGCCCAGTTTGCATAGCTTCCTGGAATGGGCTTCCTTTATAGCATAAACAGGCACACAGACTGTGATGGTTTAGGTAGGATTTGGGCATTTTATGCAGGACGGGATTAAAGTAACTTCCATTAAGAAAAAATACATTTTTAAAGTGCAAGATTGAAAATAACAGAGCAGCAGTAATTGTTGGCCGGATTCTTCATCCAATACTAGAGATTAAAAAGCCGTATTTTTCCTGTGTGGGACAGAAGGAGGATCTTTGACTCGAGATGAGAGCAGTAAAGATGATTAGTGGTGTGTCACCAAACTAATGTTCTCTCTCAGGGTCATTCAGACATGCGGAATCTGCATTAGCTGGGGGGCTTAGACAAGGTGTCTGGTGGCAGTCAGAAGCCTTTTCTGAAAGCGCTTCTGGTTTCCTCAAAATCCTCCCCTCCAGTGGTAAGTGCTGCATATTTGTTCTGTAATGGGGAGAGTTAGGGTCAGGCCCAGACCCTCTGCATGCAGGTGTGGCCCTGAAACGAGGCGAGACGGTAAGCAAGTCGTTCAGTGGTGATGGGGCACAGCGCAGTCACACCAAAGCAGGGCTGCAGGGGACCGACAGGAGGTCGTAACTAGGGCTTAATTCCATCCTCTGCTACAAATTACTCTTCACTAAAATATTTCTGACTTTTTAGACTTTGACAACCTATTGCAGCTCTTTGTCATCTACCTCTACAAATAGTGTTCGGGGCTAGAAGCTCAGAGGTGTGTGTTTATAGGTGAAACACTCAGGATCCAAATGGGCCAACAAACGAAAATCAGCATCGCACTGGGCCGGGCTGCTCTGGGATTAAAGAAAGAGAAAACGCTACCTGTGAGACAGGCTGACAGGTACTGAGCCAGTCTGCTGTGTGTTCTGTACGTGACCTTTGTCCTTATTGATTCTCTAGTTAATGAGGATGTGCATCATCTCGATTAGGAATGTGCATCTCCATCTCTGAGGCGATGTGATACATATCTCCATTAGGGATATGCATCTCCATCTCCGAGGTGATACGATACACATCTCGATTAGGAATGTGCATCTCCATCTCTGAGGCGATGTGATACATATCTCCATTAGGGATA